GGCACCGCGGTGGGGGGGGGGGAGGGGTTTAGATTTGAGGGCGGAGCCGGCGGGAAATTCAAAAGCGGAAACGATGCAATGTACACCGAATACAATGTAATCCGCTATAATTACACTTATGTATCAAACCATTTCACTTCAGTTTTGCCCGGTGCTGCCCGGCCGGCACTGTTACTGTTCTTTCTGCCTGGAGACATGAGAGCGTGCGCGGCATCCAAACCGCGTCCCTTTAGGTCAAAAGCGGTTTTAGAGCGGCTCGAGAACATTAGTGAATCGGAATCACTCGCAGAATTGAGCGATAGGGATTGGTGGGGGAGAAATTCGTCATCAGGCATCAGCCCGATGACCGGTCACTGACCCAGCCTGCCCACCTACCTAGAGAGCCCGATGGCCGGTCACTGACCCAGCCTGCCCACCTACCTAGAGAGCCCGATGGCCGGTCACTGACCCAGCCTGCCCACCTACCTAGAGAGCCCGATGGCCGGTCACTGACCCAGCCTGCCCACCTACCTAGAGAGCCCGATGGCCGGTCACTGACCCAGCCTGCCCACCTACCTAGAGAGCCCGATGGCCGGTCACTGACCCAGCCTGCCCACCTACCTAGAGAGCCCGATGGCCGGTCACTGACCCAGCCTGCCCACCTACCTAGAGAGCCCGATGGCCGGTCACTGACCCAGCCTGCCCACCTACCTAGAGAGCCCGATGGCCGGTCACTGACCCAGCCTGCCCACCTACCTAGAGAGCCCGATGGCCGCCATTATTCAAAAACAGAGTTCCAGTAAAACGGGATATTTAAAAAAATCGCAACCAAAATAATTTCTCCTCGACAACCTGCACCCCGATATTGGGGCAGCTCAGCATTATATATAACACACGTGTCACTCATACAGGACGTGGTAAACTTCTCAGAAAACACAAAAGCAAAGAGAAAGTTTTGTAGAAAAAAATTGATTATTTACTAGAGTGAGAGAACGATGAGACGGCGGAGAGATTACTGCAATCTGAACCTCCAAATACTGAGCAGACTAGAGAAGCCCCAAACCCGAGACACAAACTACGATGTGCGTATACAGCGAGGACACCGGAGGGGACCACAGGAGGGGCCTCCGGGTAGAAAGCGTCTAGCTCCTGGTTGTGGATCCAGTTCAAGTTCCTTGGTGAGCAGGACAGACCTCCTACGAGCCACACATTAGGCAATCGTCACGGTTTTCTAGAGAGCACACCATGGCCGCTTTATTCCGCTCCCTCTCCTCCTGTTCCATCGTCTCTTTGGCCAGATCTTTCTCCTGCAGCTTCTCCTTGTTCAGCGTGAACTGGATGGGATTGGCAGCCGGGCGGGTTCGGAGATAATACATGCCGGTCTTTAATCCCTGCGGAGAGGGGAAAAAAAAATGATAGAATCAGACCGACAGGACACAGACTATGTGGCTGATTTTATCTCAGCAGCTGTTCAGTAAGGATGCCATGTCCCCCGCTCCCCAATTAGTAGGGACTGTGTTGGTCTCTGGCACACAACTACTGCTGGAGACAAGTGCGGTCAATCACACCTAATCAGCTTCTCATCTCCTACTGAACCTTGTGGTCGTGCAGCGGTGGTGGGGCTGCCAAGCATGCTAGCTCAGCAGTCACAGCAGTGATGGAGGATTACCATTCACTTGGTCACCTGGGGGACTTTAGATGTTCTGGGTGACACCAAGTCCTAAGGCACGTCAGAGGATCCCGTGTATCCTTGGTTCTCAACTGGTGGGTCGTGACCCCGTGTGCCTTCCACTGTGCTGGGCAAGAGGCTCCTCCTGTCAGTTCTCTTGCCAATCAGCCATTCACAATATGCTGCCCGGTGCCGAGTGTCTGCTGGAGGTGGGATGGGGCCGCGAGAGAGCTCCATGCATGCGTACAACTCCCTCACGTGTCCTGTAGAGGTGCTTGGACTGGAGTGATGTCACATTCCGGTTCCCGGAACCTCTACAGGACACGCAAGGGAGCTGTACCAGCATTGTATATATGGATGGAGCTCCGTCACAGCACAGCCGCCCCCACACTGGACCCCAAGCTGAGGATCAACTTCAGCTCTCGTAAAGTATGGAGACTGGGTGGATCTTTTGAATGACATCCCAAAACACACCTGATTGCCCGCATGGGAACATGCGGTACCACAACCCTGTGCGTTCCATTGCAGTGCAACTTAATGACCGAGTACCAATGTGGGTCCCGGGGCTCCACAGGTGGAGAACCGCTGCCGTGTATACAACATACCTGCTTCCACCCATAGAAGTGCATACTCGTCAGCTTCCCGTAGTTTGGTTCGGCAACGTGGATGTTGAGCGACTGGCTCTGGTCAATGAAGGCTCCTCTGTCAGCGGCCATCTTGATGATGGTTTTCTGAGAGATCTCCCACACGGTCTTATAGAGTTCCTTCAGGTCAGCCGGGATATCAGGAATACTCTACATGGAGGAGAACGGGGGGAAGGGGTCAGTGTGTGTTCTGTGGGATCGTCGGTTATACTTCCGGCAGAGAGGTTCTTATGGACCCGATACCTGTATGGAGCCGTTACAAGAAATTATCTGGTTCTTCATGTCTTCGTTCCACAGGCCTCGCTCGGTCAGATCTTTCAGCAGGTGGGGGTTCACAATCTAGATGGGGGAAAACAGCGAATGAGGGCGTCTATGAGATCATACAGAGCCGGAGAAGAGAATTGCCCACCCGCTAATCCTCCCAAAACACTTCACTCCCTTGGCCCCCCCAAGACTCCGCTCTTTGCTGGTCCTCTTCCTCGGTGTCACCTACAACTCCATCTCCTCCCTCCATGGGGGTCCCCCAAGGCTCTGTCCTCAGACCCCCTCTATTCTCTATCTGCACCTCCTCCCTTGGCCTCCAATACCATCTGTATGCCGATGACACAAATCCATCTCCCTTCAGCCTCCTCGTGTATCACCAATGTACGGACCTCACACCACTTACAAATGCAATCTTCCAAAAACTGAGCTCATTATGATCCTTCCCCGAGTGCTCCCCTCCCAACCTTTACACTGATCAATAACTATAACCCCCCCCCCATGTCACGGTGCTAGGCCTAATACTAGACTCATATTGCACCACACTCAAATCGCTATCCAAATCCTGCCCCCTTCACCTCCGTAACATCTCAAAAATACCCCTTCTTACCCAATGACACCACCAAGCTACCAACTCCCTCCTGTGTCATCTCACCTCGACCAGCGGAACTCCCTTCTTGCTGCTTTACCTGTACAAACTATCCGCCCTACAGACCAACATGAACGCTGCTGCCAAACTCATCCACCTCACCCACCACTCTGCAACTTCCCTCTGCCTATCCCCCCACTGGCTTCCACCCCCCACCCCCAGTCCCTCCACTGCCCCCCATCCCCACTCTGCCAATCCCACCATTGGCTTCCATCTTCTGCCCCTCTTGGCCATTCCCCCTACTGGCTTCCATCCAATCCTTTTCTGCCAATGCCTCCACTGGCTTTCATCTTCTGCCCCTCTCTGCCAATCTTTCCAATGGCTTCCATCCCCTGCCCCTCTCTGCCAATCCCCCCACCGGCTTCCATCCCCCGCCCCTCTCTGCCAATCCCCCACTGGCTTCCATCTTCTGCCCCTCTCGGCCAATTTCAATCCATCTCCTCTCCTCCATCCCCCACCCTTCTCTGCTAATCCCTCCACTGGCTTCCATCTCCTGCCCCTCTCCGCCAATCCCTCGCCCCTCTGAGAAAGCCATACACGGCTCTGCCCCCAACTACCATCACTAACATGAATAAATAAAGTTTAAAAAAAATCACGGAAACAGTCATCTTCACTCCTCCCGAGACCTCCTGCACTCTGGCTCCCTTGTCCCCTCCTCCCATGTTCCCTTTCAGGACTTCTCCAGGGCCTCTCTGATCTTCTGGAACTCCCCAACCAATTGTGCTGCTCATGGCAGTAGATCGGTACCTAGCCATCATCCAGCCACTACATTACCATGAGATTGTAGGCAAGCAATTGGTTGTCCACTTGGCAGTCAATGGAGTGATCCGTAATGGTGTATTTGTGTTCCCTCTGGTCTGTCCAGCAATCTCCTACTCTATTCACCTTAAGCTGATCCTTGAAAACTCTTCTCTTCAGGGAAGCTTACCCCAACTCACCATACCTGTCCTTTTACTTCTTCCATTAATTCTGTCCATCACAGCTATTATCTTTTCTATCACTTGCCCCTCCCAATTAGACTGTCAGCTCTCAGGATCAGAACCCTCCTGCGTTGTATCTATACTATCTCCCTGTATATTGTAAAGCTCTGGGCAATCTGATGTTGCTGAACACTACAGGAGGTCCCCCTTACCTGAAACTCCCCGGACAGGACTCTGCGGGTGTAGATGTTGCTGGTGTAGGGCTCAATAGATTCATTGTTCCCCAGGATCTGTGCGGTGGACGCAGTGGGCATCGGAGCGACCAGCAAACTGTTCCTAATACCATGCCTGTAAAACCAAGACAGGTGAGCAATGTGCGGCTATAATCAGAGGACAAGATCAGGTGTGGACACCTGCAGACAGTAAATTATTTCTCTCGTAAGAAAACACCTACAACCATAAACTCCGGTATATGGAGTGATGAGAGGTTCATGGCCTACAAATCCAGAAAATCCAAGGCTTGGCCCTACTGATCTCCCAGGCCCATGTAGAGGAAGCCAACACCTAAACTCACTGTTCATATTCCCGGGCGGGTCAGCCGAGGACACGGCGAGGGGGCGGGTCAGCCGAGGAC